GTGTCCTTGAGAATTGGAGAGTTGAGTTAAAGGGAAATAACTGAATAATCCAGAAGAGGCATGGCACGTGGAACTAGAACAATCTACCCTGGTGGATGAAATAAAGGGTACGGTTCGAAATTCCAATCACCTGAAGAAGGCTGGAGTGTACAACGGCCAAAACGTTGTGAATATGGCAATGAAGATAAAGATAACAGTCCGAATAATGTAAGTAATCTAAGTATTCCTAATACCTCATCTCAGAGACATAGAGGCCGAAATGTTGTGAATATAGCCATGAAAATGAGGATAACGTGTCGAATAATGTAAATAATGCAAGACATTGCATTTAAATTTTTGAAGATCAAAGTTGGCTGGAAAGCATGAAGCCGGAAGAGAGTTCCACAGGCGAGAAGTGAGAACAATAAAGGAAGAGGAATCAAGAAGACAGCAGATAACGATTGACATGGCATTTAAATTTTTGAAGATCAAAGTTGGCTGGAAAGCATGAAGCCGGAAGAGAGTTCCACAGGCGAGAAGTGAGAACAATAAAGAAAGAGGAATCAAGAAGACAGCAGATAACGATTGACATGGCATTTAAATTTTTGAAGATCAAAGTTGGCTGGAAAGCATGAAGCCGGAAGAGAGTTCCACAGGCGAGAAGTGAGAACAATAAAGGAAGAGGAATCAAGAAGACAGTAGATAACGATTGACATGGCATTTAAATTTTTGAAGATCAAAGTTGGCTGGAAAGCATGAAGCCGGTAGAGAGTTTCACAAATGAGAATTGCGAGAGAAGAGACTGTTAGTGTAAAATTTACGGTTACATTAAGCCATTTCAAATGTAAAATGATGAGACCTAACAGCCAATCTAGCAGTGCGCTTAAATTCATAAAGTCTACGAACCATAGCCAAGAGCTCATCGGAACAATCACCTGGAAAATATTTATAGAAATGGCTCGCGGAATCTACGTTACGGTGGTGGGAAAATGACTGAAGCCGAGATGCTAGGCGAGGACCAATAATATTGCAGATTCTTCTTTGGATTTTATCAAGATTCTCTAAATATAACGCCGGAGCACCAGACCAGGTGTAGCAGTAATATTCAAAGCATGGACAAATGGCAGGCTAATATGTAAGATGGATTGTGGAGAGAAATATTGTCTAGTACGACATACCTTTCTATTCATGTGGTAACAGTCTGTCACATTTATCTTCAAAAAAATTGTTGTCACGTTGACGCTTATATTTGTGAAACGGCAGGCTTCGCAGAGCAAATTCATAACTTATTTATAAACAGTATTTATTGGGAAAGAACAGTGGCGTAATGGTTAGCGGCACGAATTGAAGAATCAAAGACCCGAGCTCGAATTCCAATCGAGTTCGTTGGATTCAGCTTACGTTCTAATACCCTTTAGAAAGGTATTAATCCATCTCTACTCCCCCATCTATAGGTAAAAGAACAGACTGGGTCTATGTTATGCTATTCTGAACATGTTCGTCTTTGTTGTTATACTATCACCGTTTCGGTAGTTGTACTCTCCGGCCTTCTTTCGTTATTTTGTACTGGAATTATTGAGATGAGGAATTATCATGATTATAAGCTTTGTTATTCGAACGAGTATCTTCATCTTGGTTGTTATACCCAAACAATTTCGGTCGTTGCATTCTCCGGCTTTCTTTCATTATTTATAATGGAATTATTGAGATGAGGAATTATCATGATTATATGATTTTTTTATTCGTTCGAGCATCCTTATCTTGGTTTTTATGCTCAAAATCAAAATTAGCATATTGGTCTGAGTAGAAACTTATATAACAGTCATGGGCAAACTGCGAACGCGGACCAGATGCGCCCCAACTGGCTTTCTGAAAGGCACGCCTAATTTCTTCTTGAATATAACGTTTGTTAAAATGCTGTTTGTTTCCTTTCATTCTCACTTGTTCACTCACACACTCTCGCACAAAACAACGAATATAAACAATGATTAAATAAAATGTTTCTTGAATTTTTCAACTTTTTGTTGAAGATAACTTTGTCAGCATTTTAAACCATTGACGAATTTCACTAAGGAAGACAATACGTGCTAATAACTTTTGCTTCAGAAACAAGAAAAGTCAATGATAATTATTTTTCTTTAGAGAATCACTATACTTCTTTTACAAATATTTTTGTACAGACAAATTTATAAATGAGAAACAAATGAATACACGTCATTGTGTGTGTTAATCACTCTGACATTAGAGATGCTTTTATACCAAGATTTCAGGGTGGGGTAATTATAGAAGGAATCGTTTCTCAAAAGAAAAATTTGACTGCGAGATCTTTAATGAAAAATTACTTGGCCTTTTTTTTTTTTAGCAATGCGGGCCTCCTTATCAGGTACTGTGCCTCATGCGGCCCACTGTTTGTTGGTCTCGTTTGATTTGTTTTCATTTACGGCATATCAACACCTCAATGGGTAATTTAATGCCGACAAGATGCCGACAAGATTTTTAGCGATGGTAATATTTTTTTTTAAAAATGTATTTTTGGTAATATTTTTTCCTCAAAAATGTATTACTAGTAATAATTTTTCAAAAAAACGATTGCTGCTATTAAAACCTATTTTTATACGTTCATAGCGTTTTGACCTCTTTTGAGGGTTAACTATTCGCCCATAGCAGGGACCCTGACAGGTGCTACCACCACGGGTGAGGATGGACCTGGGCACACCAGCAATTAAGATGGGGTTCCACGCTCCTCAAAACCTCCTGATCAAAGGCTTTGCTGTCGAATGTAGTCTATTGTCTTACCCAGGACGCGGATGTAGTTTATCGTTTTAACCAGGACGCGATTGTAATTTATCGTCTTACGCAGAACGCGCATGTAGTTTTTGTCTTACCCAGGACGCGCATGAAGTTTATCATCTTACACAGGACGCGCATGAAATTGATCGTCTTACGCAGGACGCGGGTGTAGTTTATCGTCTTACCCAGGACGCAGATGTAGTTTATAGTCTTACCTAGCACACGGATTTAGTTTATCGTCATACCCAGAACGCGCATGTATTTTATCATCTTACCCGGGACTCGCATGTAGTTTATCATCTTACCCAGGACGCGGATGTAGTTTATCGTCTTACCCGGGATGCGCATGTAGTTTATCGTCTTATCCAGGACGCGGATGTAGTTTATCATCTTACCCGGGACGCGGATGTAGTTTATCGTCTTACCGGGACGCGCATGTTGTTTATGATCTTACCCAGAACGCGGATGTAGTTTATCGTCTTACCCAGGACGCGGATGTAGTCTATCGTCTTACCCGGGATGCGCATGTAGTTTATCGTCTTACCCAGAACGCGGATGTAGTTTATCATCTTACCCGGGACGCGCATGTTGTTTATCATCTTACCCAGAACGCGGATGTAGTTTATCGTCTTACCCAGGACGCGGATGTAGTTTATCGTCTTACCCGGGATGCGCATGTAGTTTATCGTCTTACCCAGAACGCGGATGTAGTTTATCGTCTTACCCGGGATGCGCATGTAGTTTATCGTCTTACCCAGGACGCGGATGTAGTTTATCATCTTACCCATGACGCGGATGTAGTTTATCATCTTACCCGGGATGCGCATGTAGTTTATCGTCATACCCAGGACGCGGGTGTAGTTTATCATCTTACCCGGGACGCGCATATATTTTTTCGTCTTACCCAGGACGCGATTATAGTTTATCATCTTACCCGGGACGCGCATGTATTTTATCGTCTTACCCAGGACGCGATTATAGTTTATCATCTTACCCAAGACGCGCATGTAGTTTATCGTTTTACCCGGTACGCGGATGTAGTTTATCATCTTACCCGGGACGCGGATGTAGTTTATCGTCTTACCCGTTACGGCATACTGTTTGAAAAAGTTTACGAGTGTATAAGTTCATATTTATACATTGTTTACAGATATTAAAAGGAAAAAAAAGTAGCTGTGGAGAGCTAAGTACGCCTACGTTCTTGAAAGACATGGCATCTAAAGAGGAGGACGATGCTTTATTTGTACTGTGGGTGGGACTAAACAAAGTAAGGATGACCGAATTTTGTATGCAGAAATTCATGAAATTGACTTACGGTGTCGTTCACTTATTGATTCGTGGGTAGCACTTATTGATGAACTGTAGATTTTTGAAATTCAGCCAAAATGTTCTTGGACAATGCCTGATTAATAAAGTATGAAACCTATTGTCTGAAAGTAATTCCTGTTAACGAATCATTTCGGCTATTGATTGATTCTCATCTCCTATCTGAGTCAAGAATTCTTTTCTGCTTCCACCACTACGTAACACAGAGCGGCCTCTATTGTGTGTCACAGTATATATATATATATATATATATATATATATATATATATATATATATATATATATATATATATATATATATATATATATACTGGGGACGAGGTGTGGGTTGGTAAACAGTGACTATTATAGCTATATAGCGAGACTCTTCGCAGATGCGAATTGAGTCACTGTCGGTCATTGGGCGTGTTTCTAAAAATAAATACGCTTAAAAATACACTTTCATCCCTACCGTGCGCCCATGGCTTAATGGTTAGAATCTCCGACTGACACCAATTCAATCGGGTTTCGATCCTGGCTAGAGGCAACCGGATGTCTAGCCACACTAATGATCTGCGAAACAGTCTTTATGTGGATCACGTTATATATATGTTTGTATTTAAAGAAAGAACAGTAAGATATATGATCCGGTGTTCTTACAGATATTTTTATTTTTACAAAATAGTGCTCAATGTAAATTTACAGAGCATTACTATTGTAAATTAATTGATTTAAAATATGTTTTTTCCGCTACACAGTTCTAACCATGTTTCAAAAATGGAAGCTAAAAGCCACGAATTTAATTTTGCAATTAAATTAAAGACATTAGTTCCATTTCATCCTCAAGCGATCAGATGAAGTAAGAGCTTATTCTAGGAAGACTAGAACACCTACCTTCTTTTTCTTCTTCTTTACAGATACATCACATTGAAACACCAGTTCTCGTACGATCACCAAAGTTAAGCACCGTCGATCCTGGTCAATAACTTGACGGGTGACCGCTTGGGAATATCAGATGCTGTAAGCTTGGATGTGCATAGGATGTAATGAATACGTTAAGCAACGTCGAGCCTGGTCATTACCCCGATGGATGACCGCTATCGAACACTAGGTGCTATAAGCTTGGACGTGCGTAGAGTGTAATGAATAAGTTAAGCAACGTCGTCAGTAGCTAGATAGGTGACGACTTGGGAATACCATGTGCTGTAAGCTTGGATTTCCGTGGGGTGGAATAGATAAGTTAAGCAACGTCGAGCCTGGTCACTACATAGATGGGTGACCGCTTGGGAATGCCAGATGCTGTGAACTTGTATGTGCATACGATGTAATGAATAAGTTAAGCAACGGCAAGCCTGGTCACTACATAGATGGGTGACCGCTAGGAAATACCAGGTGATGTAAGCTTCGATATGCGTGGAGTGTAATGATACGTTAAGCAACGTCGAGCCTAGTCAATACCTGGACGGGTAACTGCTTGGGAATACCAGATGCTGTAAGCGTGGATGTGCGTGCGGTGTAATGAATAAGTTAAGCAACAGAAAGCCTGTTCATTACCTCGAGGGGTGACCGCTTGTGAATACCAGGTGCTGTAAGCTTGGATGTGCGTGAGGTGTAATGTATACGTTAAGCAACGTCGAACCTGGTCAGTAACTAGATGAGTGACCGCTTGGAAATACCAGGTCCTGTAAACTTGGATGTGCGTGGGGTGTAATGGATAAGTTAAGTAGCGTTGAACCTGGTCAGTAACTAGATGAGTGACCGCTTGTGAATACCAGATGCTGTAAGCTTGAATGTTCTTGGGATGTAATGAATAAGTTAAGCAACGTCGAGCCTTGGCAGTACCACATGATGTTGCGTGGGCGCATGCCAGAAGTGGCATGGTCACGTGATGTTGTGTAGGTGTCCAAATGTTATTTAACCGGTCCGATTCTTTATCTGGACAGAAAGGCTGGCTCGAGATTTACCGACATTTTGTCTCCGCCATATATATTATATATATATTATCCGTCGCCTTAATTGAGCCCAGCAACAATATAGTACACTCAGTTGATGACAGATCCAAATGAAAAGCTGAAATGACTCTTAAACAAAACAAAACAGATGAGAAAAGCAAGAAGAAAGGGCTAATTGTATGAAATCAGAATCTATGGTTGTCAGTAAAAGAGACAGTCGAAGTTGCGAGTTGTATAATGGGGATGTCAAAATGTCATAATAACGGATGGTGGAATGTGTGCCACGGAAAAACGAAGAACCTCGGGAATAGCAAAAGATTCCTTGCAGAAGCTAAGCAAAGCATTGAGAGATTGGTCGATTTTATTAGGTCGAAATTGTGGTTATACGGGTCTGATTAGACGAGAAAAGAATTAGTTAAGAAGAAAATGTATTGAAAGTGCACTGATCTCACAATTCTCAACGGTCAACCGGGCTCAGGCGCGATGTCATTGATCCGCACAAAAAATGAACATCTGTAGCACAATGCGGTCCACGAACTAATAGAGGTGAAAAAAAATAAAAAATAAAAACAGATGTACTGGGAATGGACTAAATTGAAAATCCCGGAGACGTTAACTGCTTCAGTATGAAAAAAAAAAGTTCCTGTCGTAGAATCTGATCAACTTCTTTATTAACGCCTCGTCAAATATTCAAATGCAATTTTCTTAAACACAAGTTTGTCTATCATTCTGGTCTTAAGACGCCTAAGAGACGAAACACGTTGTCTGGATAGCTTCCCAATTTGTCTTATTATTTCCACCTTCGACCGGATATTATTCAACATCCTACTAACACCCATAAATATAACACTAGGCGCGTGGCCGAGTGATTAGGGCATTCGCATTCTGCCCATGAAACCCGGGTTCGAATCTCACCATGGCCGATTTGTCAGGAAAGAGACTTCCTTATGTTATCGGACTGGAGGAGGACAATGCGACGCCTTTGGAAAGTACCTGAATACCATACCACATGTTGACCCAAGCCTTGTGAAGTGAAATTCGGTAGACGGAAAACCTTGTCTCTCATTAGGATAGGTTCGTATGAATAGAATATTTATTCTTTCTAAGAAATCAGTTTGGTTTGTTTTATTTACACATTCGCCACAATTCGAACAATATATATATAATTATTTTTATAAAAAAATTTATAACATAAGTATGTTATAAAATCACTACAAAAATAGCCATTTTGTTTCAACACACACTCTGTGTCTTATGTTGAAACAAAATGGCTATTTTTGTAGTGATTTTATAACATACTTATGTTATAAATTTTTTAAAAATAATTATATCTGCTCTACTTTGTATTGAGCACTCTTTTAAGAATAGTAATTGTTGGTTATTGGAATTCATTCCGTGTATACCAATTATATACTTTGATATATATATATATATATATATATATATACACACACACAGTGATATAAAAGAGTTGTCGGGACCGGAGAAGAAGTCTCTTATATCCGGGTTTGGTTTAATTTATATACATAAACAAAGGCTCTAATTTGGGACCAGAGAAAATCTCTATTATATCCGGGTTTCTCTTATATCCGGGTTACACTGTATATATGTGTGTGTGTGTTCGCTGCCTTATTTGAGCCCAACATCAATATACTACAATCAGTTATTTATACTGTTCTGTAACGTTAGATGTGCGTGGGGGTATAATGGATACGTTAAGCAATGTCGAGCCTGGTCAATACCTGGACGGGTAACTGCTTGGGAATACCAGATGCTGTAAGCTTGGATGTGCGTGCGGTGTAATGAATAAGTTAAGCAACAGAAAGTCTGTTCATTACCTAGATGGGTGACCGCTTGGGAATAACAGGTGCTGTAAGCTTGGATGTGCGTGAGGTGTAATGTATACGTTAAGCAACGTCGAACCTGGTCAGTAACTAGATGAGTGACCGCTTGAATTAGTTAAGAAGAAAATTCATTGAACGTACACTGATCTTGAATATGCCTGGTTTGTAATGGATAAGTTAAGCGACGTCGAGGCTGGTCAGTACCAGATGATGTTGCGTAGGCGAGTGCAGGAAGGTGCCGTGGCCACGTGAAGTGGGGTTTAATGGATACGTTAAGCAACGTCGAGCCTGGTCAGTACCTAGGTCGGCGACCGCTCGGAAATACCACGTGCTGTAAGCTTGGATGTACGTAGAGAAAAAAATAGATAACGCGCGATGTCACCGAAGACATAAGTAGAACAATGCAGTCTACGAACTATTAAAGAAAAAAATAGATGTACTGGGAGTTGACTAAATTTAAAATCCAGTAGACATTCGATGTTATCGGACTGGAAGGATCCAATGCGGCGCTTTTGAAAAGTGCCTGTAAACCATACCAGGGGTTGACCCAAGCCTTGTGAGTAAAATTTGGTAGACGGAACCCTTTGGTGGCCGTCGATAGCTGTGCTAGCACGAAGTCACAAGCCATCATGGCCGAGGGCTTGAGCATGCTGGCCGTGTTCAAATTATTGATCCCGCTAGAGAACACACTGTGATTAAGCTGTGATTAAGGTCTGCAAGCATAGTGTTGAAACTTGACTAATGCATGGAATAATAATGCAACACAAAATGTACTTAGAACAAAATGTATTGAAACAAGAAAGTGTACACAATATTTACATATAGTCTTTTGTATATTCCTGGTAAGACCGTTCCTGGAGAATGTGTTGACTGAGTCGCAGTCGGGCAGAGTCTCTGGTTGAATGTCTTGATTCCTCCCTCTCTTCCCAGTACCAACCATATTTATATGGTCGGTACTCCACTATGCAAATTAGGTGGATCCTACCACAACACATAGTTGCAGTATAAAGCGTTGTGGGTGTTGAATAAACACAAATGCGCCTGAGCAAGAGTCTGCAATAGGGAGATGGGTGTCCTCAAATGCGAGTGGCCAGCTATATATACATATACAATCACACTTTTAAAAAATGGACGCAGTCTTTTAACTTACTGGTTTATTGTCTCAAGTTAGATATTACGATTGCTTTTTGTTCTATATAAAACTGCACATACTGATACGCGTGATACGCAAGAGATGGTGCTTGCTTACTAAATTGGCACGAAAACCAACCCCAGAGTCTTACCTCATCCACCATGCTCACCAGACCAAAAACATTTCGATCACTAGAATATATTCTTAGTGTCGGTATATAGAGAAATAAGGAAGACATCTCTTCAGGTCTGTCAGAATTTTATTGGCAAGGAATCGGAAAAAACTGCCTACACGAGCTACTTTAATTGCTAATGGCGAAGATTAGATCATCGATTAATTAAATATAGCTTAATTAGATAAATTAATTACCTTTGCGTTCGTTTTCTTCGCCTACTTGAAAATTCGATATTACTCTCCAAAAATCATATTCTTTTTTTATTTATTTATTTATTTACACTGGTCCACCAATCAGTGGCTTCACTCTCCCACGGTTTCATTTACCCGCTGTCAAAACCAGAAATAAAAAATGATTTTATTAAAACACAAGTATAGTGATGCTGTCAATTTAGATATGCAAATGAGTAGCCGTAAATTGCTTCCTTAAACTGCGTCTGGCAACAAGGGCTCTGATCGGGAGATTGCAGATTTGAGGAGCATGGAATAACCACTTAACTGCTGTTGTTCTAAGATCCACCCTGACCCGGGGTGGTAGCACCTGTTAGGGTCCCAGCTATGGGCAAACAGTGCCCTCCAATAAAAAGAAAACACTATGAAAATATAAAAATGCATTTTTGTAAAAATACCAGCAATATATTTTTATATTAAAAAAATTATCAACAATACAATTTTATAGTAAAATTACCAATAATACAATTTCATAGTTAAATTACAAACAATACAATTTTATAGTCAAATTACAAACAATACAATTTTATAGTCAAATTACCAACAATATATTTTATCTGTAGTTGAAGGCATACAACTGCATTCAAAATGTATTTAGTTGAAGCCATGAAATTGTGTTCAAAATATTTAGATTTCGGCATTAAATAACCCATAGATGTGTTGATATGCCGCTTACCAAAATCAACCGACTT